GCAAATGCATGCGCCGTTTGACTTGATCAAGCAAACGAAAAGCAAAACCTCATATTCCGCGTGAATTCTTTTGCTGAGCTGATAAGGGGCATATTGAACATACCTGGGTGGCTTTCTCTTGCCGTGAAGAACTTGGTTGACTTATTGGTCGTTGAGTTGCTTATCTATCTCAATCAACGACTCCGTCGCTCTTCTTAATCCGGGTTCCTCATCTTGAGATGAAGGATGAAGTTAACTCACGGACGTACCCATCCTTTGTCGATCGAAGTACTGATTCATGTTATTTGTTTGCTACCACCTGACTCTTGCGATAAGATCTTTTGCCTCGCCTGTCAAGCTTGAGCGATAGGTAATACTGTCAAATCATTTGAAGATGGAATTGTATTCACAAAGCCTCGTTGAAAGAACATCGAATCATTCGCGAACTCTGTTATAGATCTATGGTTCAATTCCCCCATTTGACTTGTCAAAATATCTGCAGGTCATAGAGTTATGGAAAAGTGGACATTTGGGATTCGATCGACAGGAGATGTAATGAGATGCATCAACATCTAGAACAATGTCTGAGAGGTAGCTGGCTCGATGATCGTTGCGCATCATGGGCCAGATTTGGATCCCAGTGCTAGGGATAACGAAACAACGAACTTCCAAGGGGGACAAACTAGAAAACATACACAACAGCATTTCAGAATCGATTGTATCCTCTCAGAAATTCCTACACTAAATTGTTTGTCGAGGACACACGAGCATGAGGTAATGCAGGGATTTCAATCCTCTTATCTGCTCTTTCTATGTTAGCCCTATTATTGAAAGCGTTCAATCAGGGCGTTCATGATTGTGGATGTAGATACAAGCTCTTGTCAACATGATCCGCGGGTTGTAAGAAAGCCTTCAAAGATTCGAGCTCCTTGTGGAAAAGGATTAGACTCGGAACATCCCTCGGATATATAAATATGTATTGGGCGAGATTTGTGTGTCTGGGTCTGACTGTCCTTCGAATGAGTATCACAGAACCAGGGAAGCTTTTGGAGCAATACATACTAAGAACTAGAACTTACAGATGGCTATGAAGAAGGGTTCGCCTCTTAACAGAGGGATGATTCTGGAATCAAAGTTGGGTATGAGATGCCCCAAATGGTTGGAAATCTGACACGTGTAGCTCAGAATATACTCTGAAAGTACCGCAGCGTATCTCAACTTACACGGCAACAAATGGTTTGTCCCAGCACCTCCAGCAAGCCATGGAGCTATAATATTCACCTTACGTCTTCGCAACTTTCTCTTTGCATTCGACTATTCGATCTTGCATTCCCTATTAGTTAAATGTTCACTATTCCCAGAAGTTACAAGTAAACCAAACATTCATATACCAAGGATTTCCTGTGCAAGCGCCTTATTTCTACCCATTGCCGCCTCGCCCAAGCACAGCCGAATCTCTCTCCTTCACTCAAACTTCACTTCAAATTCACTCAAACACACTTCATACCCTCACCGTATTCTTATCTCCATTTATCCTTATCTTCATCCACTCATATGCAATAGATTCTGCACAGGAAAGTTTTGTTGCATATCTCAATATATATAGATCTTGGAATACCCTCAAATTTCACCTCCTATAGCCAAAATAAAAGCTTCATTTTTCCTTCCCAAATTCCCATCCATGAGGAGATCAACTTTGAAGTTCTTGAGAAGTACAAAGATAAATTTCGATGGGATCACTGTCGCTGTCGTCTGATCTCTCGTGTTCCATATTCACTTGCTATCGGTATCTACTATCTGCTATCTCCTATCTGTTGTATCAGAAAGTTTTGTTGCACATCTACAAAATATAAATCTCACGATAGTTGGGATTTTGAGGCTCTACAGCAGGATTAAAAGCTTCATCTTTCGTCTTCTGAATATGGCTTGATGAGGAGAATAACTTTGAAGTTCCTTGAAGCCGTCGACGTAGAACCGTTCGACCTCACCTCCATCTAAAGTTCTCTGGGCTCACACCTCACTCGACTCTACCAGCATTCACTTTGCCTGACGGCACTCCCTCACCGCCCAACATTGTCCTGATTCATCCTCGAGAAGTTTTGTTGCATATCTACAAAATATAGATCTCACGATAGTTGTCAAAAAGAGGCATTGCTACCAAAACGAAAAGCTTCATTCTCATTCCTATTAGCTTGAATCTCTCTATTGATGAGGAGAACAACTTTGAGCCTCCTCCCATAGGAGTTGGGTTTTTATTTCTTGGAAGTTGACTCCCTCACACCAAATTTCACTTCATACATACCTCTACAGATCCAAGCTTCACTTCTCCGGCAGCCAATACAACGTCATGCGTTAATCCCCAAGAAAGGTTTTGTTGCATATCTACAAAGAGTTAGATCTCACGATAGTTTCCCAAAGAAGCCTTTCCACCAAAACGAAAAGCTTCATTTCTGTTTCCCTCTGATCTTTGAATCTCCATCCATGAGGAGGACAACTTTGAACTTCCTCGAGATATTATGACTTGGTATAATATCACTCTCTTGCACCGAAACTTCGCTCAACACACGCGTCTATATACTCGAGATTCAATCCTCTGCCGACCAATATCAAGTCATGTGCCCATCCACTGGAAAAGAGTTTTGTTGCACATCTACAAGAAACCGCATCTCACGATCCTTCCCCAAAGGCGCCTTCTCACCCAAACGAAAAGCTTCAATTTCTCTTCTTATAATAATAATAATAATAATAATAATAATAATAATAATAAATCTGGCTTCAAGAGGAGATCAAGTTTTGCATTCACATCTCTCCATGAGCAAATATCTCAAAGCTGGAAGTCACTCACCTCATCGCCGACCACCCTTTCATTGCTTAGTAATGAGCTTCAATTTCTGTCTACATATCGAGGTAGCCCATATCTCAACAATCACTTAATCTCTATCCAATAACCTTTGGTTTATACTAATAGAAAAGTTTTGTTGCATATCTACACGAACACGCATCTCACGATAGTTGCCAAAAGACGCCTTCTCACCAAAACGAAAAGCTTCATTTTTGGAGATTGGGATCTGGGAGAGCATATTCCTTTCGATGAGGAGGATACGATTGAGATTGAGTTGGTCTTGTTGATACGCGTTTGGAAGTTTGGTAGAGGGAGGGAGGGGAGTATGGTTGGTAGTATTCACTTCAGACGGCACTTGCGCTTTCGCTTTACTTTATTCCGAATTCTAAATAGGTAATCCTGGGTCGAAAGAAAATATTTGTTGCATATCGCGGTTTCGCTTTCGGAGGGTGAGGAGGAAGAGGAGAGTGGTGATTACTTTTGATTTCAACATTTTGTATAACTATGTAACTATGTAACTATGTATAAAGATATACAGAACTCTCTTCTTAGAAAGCCTCATATGAAAAATCATGAAGAAAACAAAGGTCCCATTCAGAAAGAGGATATGATGGCTCAACATTCTCGCCGTCGCCACTCTCATCTCACCTTTTAGTGAGGACATACAAGTCTGAGGTGGTTCCGGCACAGGTTACTACTATCAGCCTAACGATTTCTCAAGATTTCCTTGAAGAATGTTTGCTTGCACATCTACCTAGGTGGGTAGTCCGTCCATCTATGGAGTTCCAGCGCAACGAAATCCTCAAAGTCTATAGAAGGTGTATCATGGGCTCACATGACCCAGATTGTTCCAGGTAGAAGATGAGGAGAATAAATAGTATGGAAAAGCGGAGCTAGAATATTGTGCAGAGATAGAAACTCATCAGAGAGAAATCGCTTCACGGCCATAAATCAGAGGAAGGATATAAGTTGAGGAAAATATCTACATTATCAAAAATAACAATTTGGCAATAATCTACATCGTCACCTCCAGATTTTCACACCAAAATCTGTGCTTTAGTCGTTATTCAGAAGAAAAATTTAAAGATTATTTATATAACTTTAAGAATTGATTAATATATGGAAAAGAATCTATATTGTTCAAGGTCTACTATATAATGAGAGTTAATTCTCTTTTACTTCTAAAATATTATATAGAGATAGAAACTCATTAGAGAAAAATTGCTTTATAATTATAAATTAGAAAAAGAATATAAATTAAGGAAAACATTTATGTTATTAAAAATAATAATTTGATAATAATTTATACTATTATTTTTAAATTTTCATATTAAAATCTATACTTTAGCTATTATTAAAAAGAAAAATCTAAAGATTATTTGTCTGATTTTAGAAATTGATTAGTATATGAAAAATAATCTATATTGTTCTAGGTCTACTATGCGATGACAGTTGATCCTCCCTTGCTTTTCTCTTAATAAGATAGATCAAACACGTTCAATAACGGACACCATGATGTGTATCTGATGCAACGTGATACCAGACAGACAATGTATTGGATCGAGTGATGGGTACAGATGGAGGAAGCGATCTGAGTATTGGCATCATTCGATGGCCCGCCGGGAATATTGCAATGGAGATACTGGTAGTTGTATAAAGCTCAGTGATAATAATTTTAGGCGACCTTTTATTTGATATTCGGTATCTTATTGCCCCTTCCTGAAGCTATAGGAAGAGACTTTCAATCTTGAAGAAGTCACAAGCCTCTATCTGAGCTTCCATTTGGTGTACATTGGAATGAAGGCGAGTAGCTTGGTATCAAATAGTGCGGCAAACTAGACTGACAGAATGGTAGAATGGATGGAAGCTTTGAGTAGGCATCTGAAACGGATCCAACAATTGGAACTATTTGAATATCCTGATTGGAATCAGAATTCAAAAGCTCTAATTGTTGAACTAAACCCCAGAATTGCGGAAACCCTGTCCAATATTTCTATCTTTGGATGAAGACAGAGAAGAAGCTCTAAGCAGGTAGTAGCGTCACAAATCCTTCAATTTGAAACCCACACACAATTTGCTTCTGGTTTACTTTACTCAAAATCATGTCGTGATTTTTTAGTCATCGAAGGCTTAGACGCATTAAAATACTGCTCATTTCCTAATTCTCGACGTTTGGTGCCTAGTAGTAAGATCCAGAATACCCACCCGTTGCCCCATAATCTGGATTTTGACAACCTGGCGTTTCAGGCGAGAACGCAATATCCAGCGAATTGTCCAAATTTGATATTTCATTATACCCAAAACTTTGATGAAACGCAGGAGAGGGATTGACATGAAATGAATCAGAGTTTGTGGTCTGCATTGGAGCTGGAGTGAAATATGACTGACCGAAGTTCTGGAAACCAACTATTCCTGAATTAGTGTTCGATTCGGAAGGTTGATTCCAACTTCCTGTCTCTAGATGTGGACCATTCATATAATCGTAGAGTGGAATTTGTTCTGGTGTATTTGTCGGAACTTGTGGTACGGGTCGAAGGTCCAATTCATTCGATTCCATTTCTGATTCAGGATATGATCCAGAGGTAGGTATTGCAGCGCTCGATACTCCCTGATAAGGAGACTTGGACTTGAATGGCTCCGAGCTCGTGATATCAAACGTGGGCATATAGCTCATATTTATTTCTTTTGAATTTTGGTTAGGTGTTTGATGGTATGCATGGTTTGATACTGTGCTTGAGTAGCTTTGAGAGGGAATAGTAGAAAGCCGTCCCGCCGAGATTTTTAGATCTGCATAGAAAGATGCAGGGGTGTCATCTAGTACAGATAACCTATTCGGAGATGGAGGTTGCACCATGCTATGTTTCCTTTGAACAGTAACATATTAGTAGTTTTCACGTAAAAGTAACGGAGAACTTACCCTTCAAAGGTATAGATGCAGTCCACTGGTGGATACCTTCTCGAACAATGTCTACACGGTTGTTCTCTACTACATTTTTGCTTTCTCTTCTGACATTGTAAACACGCAGTTGGCGTCCTCGACCTTGCTGTTCGCTTTGATACTTCATCTGATTTCTGCATGTCTTCGGTTGGGCTTTCCTGTTCCATGACTCTGGCTTCATCTTCGTTTCCTCGTGGGAATTCGACTTTTTTTATGTCTTACGAAAAGTACAATCGGCTGATAGGGCTGAGAGTATATTCAGTACATGGTAATGTACAGTTTCGGTGATTTGACGAAATTGGTTAGAATTGGCGCAAAGAATGCATGGTAATGCTTGTAAGCCAAGTGAGATGTCGTCGAAATAGGGTGAAGGATTTGGAGCTTCGTTGATTGGGCGAATGAGCATAACATGGCGTAGATTTTGCTTTGGCAATACTGTGATGAGCCTATGGAAGATTCCTTTTGGTGTGCGTAAAAAGTTTCAGCATCTTGGCAGATACTAGAAAGATATTTTTATCTTCAAAACCTCATACTTGGCATGAAAAGTAAGCAATTGAATAAATGTTTCAGCTATACCTATTGGTCCAAATCTGCCAAAAATTATATTCTGCATCATTTTGGGAACAGGGCATCCATGCAAATCAATTCTTCGCCTGAAAATGGGTAACGTATCATATTCTAAGAGCGGAAAATACCCAGATTTGAACAAATGCCACGCTGTATCACAACATATTTCAGTGAATCACAAGAAAACGAATAACAGAATAACCAATTATGAGTGAAGGATTTCGTCTTTGCATTTTCGTCCATGCTTCTGTGTCACAAAGGCGCAAGGCACTTGCCGTTCCAGACATTTTAGCCATATAACCATCAAGACTCACCGCACTTCTAGATAAGAATCTCTCCACTCTATCAACCAGGCATTGATTGCCAACATAATCAGAGAAGCTCCAGGCTTATAGACTGTGCGGAGATTATTGGCTGAATCGTCGTCTCCTCAATGAGTCTACTGATAACCCCACAAGCATGGAGAATCAGCAACGGCCAGCCAGTCATCAAATGGGTACAGAGTAAGACTTCGACTGCTCTGCTGTAATTATTTCTGTACATTTGAGGCTATGAGAGTAAAACATAATCCAAGGGGACAAAAGAACCCGGAATATTGATGATATCAGATCAGGCACCACCCAATCGAAATTAGATTCAAATTTCCCTGATCGGTGAGTTCCATAGATTTGAAAGCGAATCCTCGCTTGCGATAGCTTCAAGCTCTCAAACACGATGTGGGATTTAAGCTCCGTCTTGAACATGGTTCAATTCATCCTATGACTGCATCGACATGGAGCTGGTCAAGAGCGGCACCGTGCTCTTCGTATCTGATAGCTGAAAGTATGTGGATCAACGATGTGCACAATCTTCTGGTATGTCCAAAACCAGCAAGCGGCTCAATTGTAAGTACCGGCGGAGATAATTCGGACCCCAACACCTGCGACATTCTACAGCCTTGCTGGAACGAGTGATTTACAGGGGATTCGTATCAAGAATCAATTCCGCAAATATTTCCTATCTTGATGTAATGTAGACCTTTGATCAACAATGTTTGATACTATGACCTGCCTAGATCCCAAATTGGAATACGCATTGGGCTGGACAGTAGGAATATTGAAAGGAATATTGGCTGGGAAGGTATCTATATTTAGACGCGCAATTGAGAACGTATTTAACTTTAACATATTAAGTGCTATGGTGTTGACAACATCTGAGTCTTCAGTTCTCGATGCTTGACGTTTCATGAGTGGATGAACGAGGTAGATGCAGATATTGTCTAATAATGAAAATGTTGCAACGAAAACCCGGAGGTCCCGAGCATCTAAATCACACGTGATTAGGCGCTTTGGGCGCGTTTGGTGTAGAAGTTACAACTGAACTACCTCTTGTCCGAGGTTGTATCTTTGGGTTTCTCTGAACTTTTCCACTTCTCCACAACAAACTCACATCAAGTGACCGAACCCACTCCCTCAATCCCCGCAGTTTCCAGCTGTTCCACTCCAGAAACCCATCAAAAATCCCACCACTGCGTGATTTGCGGCTTTCCAGCTTCATATAAATGTGCCCAGTGCCAGCAAGTCTGGTATTGTTCCTCTGCACACCAAAGACAGGCTACTTTTATCACATACGCTCCTTAAACCCACATTAACCCTCGCTCTAGGCATGGCCAAACCACAAACGCCTTTGCAAGATCTACAAGAACACATCTACTCCATCCCTTGATACTTATTGCGGGCTCTGCGGAAAGACACGCCATCTAACTCGTACGGAATGCTGCAATCGTGCAATTTGCGATGACGAGGAAAATTATCAAATGTTCAGCTATTCTGCTGTCTCTTGCAATCGCAATCATCGTCGTTATACCTTGTGTGGTTTTCATCACAATGAGGGCCACGAGGACAAAGATTGGAGAAAATGTGAGGAATGCGTTGGGGGAAAAACATTCGATAATAGCACCATCGTTACTCAAGGCACTAGTGGGTTATCCATCTTTCCTCAAAGTTGAGAAATGTATCGGGGTTGCTAATTGTTACGAAATATACTCTTCGTTAGGCTCATTCAATTTCAAGGAAGATGAATGGAGAGATGCACCAGAATTGGTACCTACCAAATGCGGAAACCGTCAAAAGATTGTTAGTACAGCTACTGAGATACATAGTGAGTTCTTTCAAGAGTGTGAGTCTTCAAACGCTGATATGAGGGCTTACGTAGGTGGATGGGGCGATGATCTTCGATGTATGAACTGCATTGGAACATAAGGAGGTATTTTGTAGTCGCGTTTGCCATTTACAACCTTCATTGAAGTCATCGTATGGAATATGAATAGTTGGAAAGCACTCTTTCATTGGGTTATTGAAGTATTTATGAATGACACTGTCTGGGTCCTCATACAGAAACGCGCTCCATTATCTCCAACCTTATGGTATTGGATGAGAAATAAATCGAAGAAATCCACCCCATTAATTGACCCCGTGTATTTGTAGTACACCTCAGATTGTCTCGAATGTGCTTTCTTACGCCGCAGTTTTGCGCCTTCAATTCCCTCGAACCCAATACCAAACATGCGCTTGAGTTGTGAGCTATGCATGCTATACCAGACATCATGTCAGCACTCTGTCCCTCATTCCACGTTCCAAATTCCACTAAAATCGTATCCACTCACCCCTCCATTCCATCTAGAACTTATTAACGAGCACCTCCTAGCTGCTCCAAAAAAACATCAAGCCGGGCTTCAACATCCATTTCCAGACTATCGGCCGTGTGTTCTTTCTCGATTCTGAGACCGTCGTAGAGAAATCTCACACTCTGAATATCCCCAATCTCCTTGTGCTGACAATAGGCCTCCATGATCTTCGACATAGGCTTGTTGCGCTTAATCTTGAATGTAATCTCATCACCCAGTTGATCCTTAACCGTAACAGAGACCGTCTTTGGTTTACCGGTATCCGCACCACTACTCGCTCCAGGCTGAGGTTTGTGCTCGCGAGAGGCGGGGATTGGGGTCTGCGGGTCGGGAGTTGGTGAGTGCATTTTAGATGGTTGTTTGCGGTTGGATTTGTTGATGTATTAAATGCGATCGAGAGGACTAGAAATTTGAGAGGGTTAGAAATAGTGATTTTATCGAAAAAGGACTATCTACAAAGACCTCAACTATAAATATACGGCCATACTTACATGAACTTGACCGTTGCTCTTGAGATACGTTGAAGTCTGGTCAGTGGTGGTTTATCGACCGTGGCAGTGTTGAAAGATGGTAGTGAGAATGGTATTGCTAAAGATTAGGCAGCGAGTTACAATAGATGGTTAAAGAACCTCGATGACACTTTAAGTGATTAAATACTCGTTCGCGTCGCAAAATGTCGAGACAAACATTTTGTACTGTATTGTGCCGACAAACTCACAAGGAGTCGAAATTCGCGAAACGCGTCGACCCGTGATATTCTTGCTCCTTCTGGTTGCACGCATGATACTAGACCAATCATTGATCATGATATATCAACGAATTGATGGTAGAATTCATATGTAATTGCGACATATTTCTAGTGAATATTTGAATTTAGAAATATATATTTGCGGAGTGATGTACTAATTTGACATGAGCGGGGTCAGAGCTTATTTATTGGTGCGTACAAGCTCACCGGGGAATGTGTTCCGGTCGGGAAGCCCCTTAGTCAGGAACAGTAGTGGATTTTTCAACGTCACCGATCGATTCACAAAAGATATAGGAGAACGGAATTCTATTGAATTTACAATTTTGGGTCTAATCTGATTTAACAAACCGTTCCGGTGATATATTTCATAATTCTAAGTAGTCCATGATGTTGGGTTCCTACTCGTTTCCTTTTCTTTCCAAGAAGTCAAACGCCTGCGTTGAAATTTACCACCGTAATTTCGTGCCTTCTTACCGAGGCCGATTTGATCGATATGACCAAAACCCCAAAAATAGATTTCTGCTTAATGAAAAAGTGTATTTAGTATTCAGGAGTGTGTGAATAAAAATCAATATTATTTGTCACTAAATTACTTTTATAATTCAATACTCTTTCTTCCTTTTAAACTTTATAAATATTAATATATTAATTCTTTATAAATATTAAACTTTCTTTAATTTTTTCTTATTCATTTTATATAATTTTATTTATATAATTATAATAATTCAATCTTAAATTTTATTAACTTAATATAAAGAATCAATTTATAAATGTCGGAACACGTGACCAACAACGTGACATTACATATTACGCTTTACCCCATATACATACAAAGTGCGTAAATGAGGGTAGTACATGTATATAAATATAACAATTCCTTTTTCATACAAAAAAGATAAACAAAAATAAACAACCCTTTTAATCATATATATTATGTATATACATCTTACCAAATCTACCTAATATTGATTAATGATTGATTAAACTTAATTATAGAACGATAAGATCAAACCTAATAAAAAAAGATATCTTTTAAAAAGATAAACAAAATTGTACTAGATTAAGTTTATATACGATTTATATAAAAGAATTAAAATACTACATTTTTTATACTATCTTTTCGGATTATATGCTAAAAAGAGATCCCTGATTACAATTATGATTTCTTTAGAATAATTTGATTTATATCGATTCTATCTATGTTCATTACATTCTTGTAACGTGATTTATCAGTGTGCGGGTCATATCAGTGTGCGGGTCATTTTCACCTCAATTCACTCTTTCAAACTCATATTATTCAACAACCATTGAATCAATTGATTAAAACTATGAAAATTATAATAATCTAGGATCTATTATATTATCTTGACAAGTTCTTGCATTATGTCCGGTCTTTCCGCATTTACTACAGCATCGACTAGAAGATGCTTCTTCATTAGAATTCCTCCCTTTTTGACGCTCGTCGCGTTGAATCTGAATATCAACCTCTTGTTGAGATAATATATCAAGAGCTTCTTGCCCAGTAAGTACTCCTCCTTGACGTAATTGGGTTTTTTTCGCGCGTCGACGCTTGCTTAATGCCTCATTTGCCTTTCGAAGTGTACGAATCTCTGCATTCAAAAGTGTATTCTCATGAGCTAATCTCTCTGTACCTTTAGCTAGAGCTAGTACAGTCTCAAATATAGGTGTAGGGGAGCTTGATTGATGTCGGGTTATTCGAGATTTCACTAAAATTGATTGAGAAAGAGCTTCAGTTGGGTTGTGAGGGGTTTGAGAGATCCATTGATCTAGATCGAAAGAGGGAGGGGTAGGTGTACGAATTCGAATATCTAACTTCGAAAGTACGGCTTCAGGGTTAAATGGTATTAAACCTGTTCCTCGAAATCCTGATTTCATATTCTGAGAGATGATTGATTCTTTATATGCAGCTTTAAAAGCTATAAAGAATTCAACCTTCGAAATATGATTGATATGTGCCTTGATAAATCCATCAATTTGACCACCATATGAACGTTTCAGATTGCTAAAACAGCCCACATCAAGTGGTTGAGTTAAATGACTTGAATGCGGTGGTAGACTTAAGCATATAATATCGTTCTCTTTGCAATATGCTTGAAAAGCTCTTGATTCATGGCTTTCATGCCCGTCTAGTACCAACATTCGATACCTGCCCTTTCTTCGGTTCTTAGTGTGCTTGTCGAAGTGTTTCAACCATTCTAAACCTGTCTCATTGTTTGTCCATCCATTAGATGTAGGTTTAATAGCCCAATCCGCAGGAAAATCGGTTTCGGTATACCAATTGGAAAGATGAACCTGTCCTTGAACCACTAGAAATGGGGGTATAGTTTCACCCTCCCCATTGCCACATATGATTGCTGTAGCCCATTCTCTATTGCCTGGTTGTATTGCCTTGCTTCTGCCATTCCGTTCAGCACTAGTTACTACCATTCCGGGGCATATTATACCCATCATAAAGCCCGTCTCATCGAAATTGTAGAAATCGCCATCCAAAATGCTGTATTTCGCTCGCATATTCGCAACCAATCGAAACCACTCTTCAATAAGCTTAGGATCTTCGCAGAGAGCTCCTTGAAAGTCATAAACACGACTAAAACGCGTCTTTAATTCGATTCGACGCTTTACGAATCGATGCGCCCAGAGCTTCCTAACGCGCTTTGCACCCCTCGATTCAAGAATATGATTCGCCATATCTTCTACATTTCTTAATTTAGGTGGAAATCCTCTCAAATCCATATCAATTATATATTCAGAAATGATATTCTCTTCTAGTTCTGAAAGATTATAAGATTTAGGTCGATATTCGGAACGGGAAGTAATACCATTAATTCTACGCTGTAGTGTTGTATTCGAGATATTATATATCTTTGCAACCTTTCGAATACTTGTTTTTTTGTCTTTTTGAATAGCTTCGATAGCGAGGAGTATACGGGCTTCTTGATTATTCGAATCCATTGTGGATTGTTGATAAAAACGCGTATTGAAAGAGAATAGAGTGAATTGAGGTGAAAATGACCCGCACACTGATATGACCCGCACACTGATAAATCACGTTATATGTTATATAAAATATGTTTGATATAATACAATATTAAATATTATTATTCAATATAGTTTTTTTAATTCCTGAAATATTTCTATATGAAATAAATTTTATATTTTGGGGAAAACAATTAAATCCGAGCAATCCCGATTTTATAGAATTTTAAATAAATATTAATATTATTATATAAATTATTAATTTATAATTTAGATAATATAAAGAATAACAATTGTAAAACGAATTTCAAGAGTAATATAAAGGTTGGATTGAAATTACTTTTAAAGTTGTATATTGTAAAGCGCTTAAACTTCTACGAATTCAACTTCTTGTTTACAATTTCTAAGTTTAATAATTAAAAGATGATTTAAATTATATTAAAGTTTTTGTTGAACTTATTTCAAAAGAAATATTAGATAAATGTATAAAAGAGATTAAGAAAGAGATAGAGGATTTAAGATCGAGCTATTTAAATATATATAAAATAATTAGGTTAAAAAGATTAATATATATATTAATATCTATTTCAAATTTATTTAATCAAATATCTACATTATGTTCATAAGATTAAAATCAATCTTATTTCGAACCTCATATAATATTAGATTATATAATACCGAAAGAAAATATACTATATGTATTGTACACAGAATATATATATAATCTCCTTCCAAATCTAATGAAAGTGTATATTAATAAAGATTATAAATATAATAATAAAGAATATAATTTTCTTAATTAAAAGTTTCAAATATTTTATAAATTTTATAGAAATGTTAATATTAAATCAGATTAATATAGTAATACTTTTTCAATAATGCTTAAAAACAATATTTTAATATTCTACTTTAATAAAATTACTAATAAAAACCTTAATTTTGAGAATATATTAGTATTAATACAAACATATTTCGAAATTAAAAAAAGACAATAGAAATACCTTATTGAATAGTATAATATAATATTTCCGTAAATTATATGAAATAATCCTGAAAAAACATTTCCTTAATAATTAAAAATCTTACTTAAAGATCTTTAGAATTTACAGTATAATTTGATTAATTCATATCAATCAGAATCAATACTTCAAGATCAAATTATAAACATTTATTATAATATTCCTGAATGTAACCCTATATTACTACAACCAGCTTTAACGTACAAAGGTCTTTATACCAATCTATAAAATACTATTGGACAAGCTAAGCATACAAAAACAATAAATTCCTTTATATCGACCTTTATTATTAATAATCTATTTAGTATAGAAATATATTAAATTAATTATATGTATGAAGATTAAGGATTATATCAAGAGTAAGGTTAATCCCAAAGAACTTGAAATAAAGGGAAGTTTTTATTTCCTTTTTAAGGTGATTCTTCTTGTTTATAATTTATACAATCTTAAAACAATTCTTGTATATTATTATTAAAATACTATATATATAAGAAACCAGATTATTGGTTTACAAATCACCCTATACAAGAACAAAAACCTTGATACAATTAATTCATAACGAAATACAATTAAATGAAGATTA